CGCGGAAAGGCCACGAGGGGAGCCGTAGCCTCGGGGACCCCTGTGGCGGGAGCTCTTGTCACCCATCGCTTCCAGTTCCTGAAACTGGGCTTCCCTCGCAGAGTGCCATGCACTGCCCCGTAGAGTGCAGTGATCTTCCCAGCACAGTGCCACCACCCAAGCCGCAGAGGCCACAAGCGGGCGTGCCCAAAGAGCCAGAAAAGGAGCCGCACGTGGGGCTTCCTGGCTCCAGTTCTAGCGCCATCCGGCTGCCAGTGGAGGATTCTTATGTTCCAACAGGGCATCGGAACATGGCATCTTCCTCCTCCTCCTCCTCCATCTGTCCCCCTCCCCTCCAACCACCAGCACCGGCACCAGCAACTGCCCCCTCATCAGAGCCAGACACTGGTGAGAGAAAGTTCTTCAGTTTTGTGGTCGTGCACGCCGTGGAGGACGTGGACATCGCCTGCCGGGTGAAGGAGCTGCTGGAGAGCATGGGGGTCCCGGACGGCGCCACGTTCTGCGAGGACTTCCTCGTTCCCGGGCACTGTCAGCTGACGTGCTTCCAGGACGCCATCAACAGCTCTGCTTTCACCCTCCTGCTGCTGACCGAGAACTTCCAGTGCCGCTTGTGCACGTACCAGATGAACTCTGCCCTGATGGACTCCATCCTGCGGCTGCACAAGTACAACTCGGTCATCCCCTTTGTGCCCAAGGAGTACCCCTTGAAGAAGGGGCAGATCCCTGGTGTGCTGGCAGGGCTAGTGCCCCTGGATGAGAACTCCCGGGTGTTCACCAAGAGAGTGAAGAATACTTTTGTCCTCAGCAAGATCAAGGAGCAGAGGACCAAGTGGAGTGAGATACAGCAGATCCAGGAGGCACACAGAAAGCAGAAGCAATACCAGGAGCATCTCCAAGCGGTGCAGCAGGCCTTAGCAGCTCTGAACATGGGGTCCCAGCCAGGCTTGTTGCCCCCCATGCAGCTGCCAGATCTGACGGGACTGCAGCAGTTTCTGTCGAGCCTGTCGGCCCAAGCAGCCTTAATAAACCAGCCTTACCCAGGCGGGCTGTTCATGCCTGGCTACTCGGCTCCCTCCCCTTCAGGTCTCCTGCCGGGTCACCAGAATATGGTGCCGGGGACAGGCCACCAGCCCCTCATCATTCAGAACGCACAGATGGTGCAGATTGGGGACCACAATCAGATGCAGGTGGAGAGGACCCAGTCGGTATCGGAAGACTCCGATGAAGAGACCAGCGAGTGTAACTGAGTGGAGGGGGCCAAGAGCTCAATGCTGCCCAGAGAAGTTAGCGCTTGGTTGGAAGGCCCTTCAGCAGGGATGGTCAGCCTTGCAATGCGAGCGCGAAACAAAAAGATGTCCTACCTCCTCCCCTCCTGTGGATGGGGAGAGTGGAAGGAAATGCCCCATCTCTGCTGTTGGATGAGAGGATGTGGGCTCCAAGCCCATGACAGCCTCTTCCCCCTTCGCAGATATTGGGGCAGGAAAGTGTTTTCCCAGTTTTGAGGGACCCGCAAATTTTAGAAATAAATTTTTTATTAATTTATTCCGTTTCTCCAAGTGCTCACTTCCTTGGCAGGGCAGGACAACCCTGGGGCATTTTGTCTTTCCCCCGGAACGGTTTGGCGTCCCTGAAATGCCCATGGGGTGACAGCCCGTCGGCGGAGAGCTGGGATTGCTGGAGTCAGCGACAGGGCCAGAACAATTAGATGTGCCGTGCAGCCTCGGGCAAGCTGCTTAGGTGAAAGATTGTCAGAAATGGCCAACGTGAGGCCTGACTTTGGCACCCCCAACCCTCCCCACTGTACCCCGGAGTGGGGCTGTTCAGCCGGGCCCCTGGGGTCTCATGCTGGGACATGAGATCGGTGCCCACGTTTCTGTCTGCCTCAGCCTCCCTCTTTGAGATGGGGAGTGCGGTGCTGGTTCACTCTGGTGAACTACTTTGAGATCTACCCTGAGAAGCCTCATGGGAGTGCCAAGTTCCCTAAAGGGTTAGAAAGCAAGACGTCCTTTGGTGCCTGGACAGGTGTCCCCTTAGACACACACATCCACATTCCCTTGTCACCGTGTTGATTCAAGGCTGTGATGCGTGGAGATCCCTGCGCTGGAGCACTCAGGGCTGTACTAAGTGCCCAGAGCTGGTCCAGCAGACACGCTGGCGAGAAGCTGATGTACTGAAGCACCTCTTGGTCTGTGAGTCTTGTCCGTCAGCAGGGGCAAGGGGCTCATCAGAAGTGCACGGCCCTGGAAGGCTGATGAGACGCCCAAAATAGAAGGAGGATCCAGGATTTGGGGTGGAGGGGGAATGGGATAGGACATCGAATGCTCCAGACATAAAAATCGGATCCCTGGTTTTAGCTCCAGGATGCCCACAGCCCCTGTCCCAAAGGGGACAGAGCCCCACCAGCAGTGTGCCGCCCCCTGGGAAGCACGGGCTTCGGGCATTGCCTACGCATGATCAAAAGCTGCTCAACAGGCCTGGGCAGCTGACAAAACCAACCTTGCAATACATCTTGCATGTAGAAACCAGCAGTCGTATCACGTTGCACACTTGGTTTCAGCGCCTAAACCAGATCCTTTGTACGAGTCATTAACCCGCAGGCAGCTCCCTCTCGCAGTGCATGCACGCCGAGAGCCCAGATCTGTCCTCCCCGATGTAACTGCATTAGCCCTGAAGCCAGTGGGCACCTGTGCCTCTTTAGGAGACTGCTCCTTCGGCCCCAAGTGGGCATGAGCTCTGGATTTTGAGGGTGAAGGTGACTTAGCTGATGTCCCCCAAATCCTGCAAGGTTGCCTGCCTGGGGATGAGCCAGCCACCAGCTTCTCAGTGGAGGGCCCAGCTTGAAAGCAGCCTTGCTAAACTGTCATCAAAACGCCCTTGCCCAGGCACCAGACTTGTTCAGACCTGGTTATGCTCTTGCCCGGACACCAGATCTGTTCAGCCCTGGTGACCATGACACGACAACGCTCTCCGGTGAGTGCCACTGCAAAGCTACATGCATGCCAGCAGAGTCAGCGGCCTCACTATCCAAAGATCTGGGGCACCTCAGCAACCTTGGGATAAAGGTTAAACCAGAGTTCGGCCTGCCTGCCAGCACACTGTCCAGACCGTGTTAAACAACATCCACTGTACACGTCTAATTCTTCCCAGCAGGCGTTAGATGCAACTGCGACCTAGATGCCGCAGTACTGAGTGCATTAGAAATACCCCTTTAGTTAAAGAGCAGCTCCTACCCACTCCATGGCTATAGCAATAGCAGGAGGGTTGGAAACTTAAGCTCGATGCTTTTTTAAAATAAGAACAGCGTCTTATATCTCACCTGACCTCGAAAGACAGCACTAAGCAGTGCGAGGCCTGCAAGCGGCGGGTGGGGATAGTGAAGGACAGAGGGAAAACTTCCCCAGTACAGCCCTAGCCTGGAAGGTGACTGGGAGCGGGATGTGGGCTTTGCACATTTAACTCTCACAGTGGTGTCCAAAGGTCTGAACTGATCTCAGTGCCCCGTCCCGCTGGCAGCTGTGCAAACCCACAGGGAGGCCCCCCACCCCCATGCTCCTGGGGCCTGACGAGGCATTGGGGCTCCCTGCCAAGAAGGGGGATGGGTAGGGTTGACATGGGATGGGGTGGTGCCAGCATCTCCAGGGCTTTGGCACGGAGACAATCCACAAGCGCACAAGGAAAGAGCCGACACAAAAGGCCACCTGGCTTCGTTAACGCGGCCGCGAGGGGAAAGACGGAGCTGGTGGCTGCTTTTCAGCCCGCTTTACACAAAAAAGCAAGGCCTGGGCACTTCCCACCCCCCGCCACCCCCGCACCAGTTCCTCCAGCTAAGTTTCCTCTGCAGCCAGGAGAGGCCATTGCCGCTCCCAAGGGGAGTCCATCCGAGGGAGCTGGTGTGCGGGGTGGCTTGCGCAAGGGGCACAGCCTGGGTAGCAGGACTGCAGCCCGGCCACGGCCCCGGCGGGTGTGAGACGGCCGGGCACTCAGTAGCGGCGTGTTCCAGCTCATGCGGGTTCGCGGTGCAGGGGGGCGGGAGGGAGATTTTCTCCCTTGTGCAACACTGGCTCCGGGGGCCAGCGTGGGCAGGCGTTTTCTTAGTTAAAAACAAGGGTTAAAGAGCAACAGCCTGATTGCGGGGGTTGGGGGGGCAGCTAGGGACGGAGCCAGAGGACGGGAAGGTTTGGTCTCCAACATTGGGAAGCCCAATCCAGAGCAAGGCTTGGTGCTGCTGGAGGCCGCCGGCTAGGTCTGAGCTTGACGCTCACACAGTGACACCAGGTCCGTACGGAGGAGGACGCTGAAGTCCCAAGTCATTTTCAACGGGCTTCCAACGAAAGCTGGAAATCTGCTTGCTGTCTAGCTCCTGCCAGAGCCCCCTAGCTCGCCTCCCACCTCCCACGGCTGCACCCTGCACTGTTCCCCCCAGCCGCGGAGCCGAGCTGCTCTATTCGGACTCATGCCACACTGCCAAGAAAGGGATGTGCCAGCTCAACTCTGCCATCGGAGACACTTCGGCTGCCCCGCTGCCCGGGCGTATCCAGCAGGGCTGCAGATAACCCTTGAGTCACAGGCGACTTCAGCTCGTTCTGAGAGTAGTAACACAACCTTTGAAGTCAGTGATTGCGTGCTCTCGGGGTGGCACCGAGCACATCTGCTGAGTCACGGCTCGGAGAAGAACCGGCCTTCCCAGTGCCACCAGTTCACGCCTTCAATGCTACCTGCTAGTACTGGGGTAAGAGCCTCAGTGCCAAATGCAGGGCAATCCTAAGAGGTGGAGCGTGGCATTGCAGTGTGCAAACACCGGCAGAGCCCCCAGGGCGGGCACACGCAGGGCGGATTACAGCGAGGCAGTGGCGCTGGGGTGGATCGTACGTGGCTAGCACGCAGGGTGTATTAAATGCAGCATCACTCAGGCCCGGCGGGTGACACAGCAGGAGCCCCCCTGGGAGCTGGCGCGCTTGAGGATGACCACGCCGCTGTGCCAGGCAGAACTGGTGACAAGAAACAGGAAGTGGTGACAACACAACTTCCCCATGGGGCGCTCGGCAATGCAGCTGCCTCCGTCCCGCGCCCCTGCCAAGGGCAGCCGGGCTGAGTCGCAGGTGGGGGCACCCTCAGCAGAAAGGAAGCGTCTAGCAGGGCTGTAGCTATTTCCTAATGGTCAGCGCTGGCTGTGGCTTCCCTGCACCATCGCCTTCCTTTGGGAAGGACCTGGCAAGCTGAGGGGCAAGCCAGTGCCCCCACACATGTACCAAAACTTTGGCTATTAGCTAAGGCAAAACCAGCAGGTGCCTGAGGCTGGATCTCTGTGGAGCAGGATGATCTCTGCCCATCAAAGGCTGGGGAGGGTGCTTGGTACCTCTGTGTGAAGGGGTGACTGGCTCTGGGGAGATTCAGACTCAGCTCTTGGCTCTGCCCTGGGTGTCCGCTGTGACCTTGGGCAAATCACTTCGTCTTTTCTGGTGCAAAAATCCAGACCTCTTGGTTCAGAGATGATACCTGAGAAATTGCAAAAAAAAATTTCTGCAAGCTTTTGGGTTCACACACCCTTCATCAGGCTCAGGGAAAAGCCCTTTGTCTTTTCCAAGTTCAAATCCCCACCTATCGCACAGAGTTGATGCTTCCTCTGCTTAGACTTGCTGGAGCTATTAGGCCAGTCTGTCAAGAGGGGGCACTCTGCTGCCATGGAGCGGTCCAGAGTTTAAAGGCTCACTTTATGGAGAGTGGTGAGAGCCAGGGATCCCCTGTCTGGTGCCCCAGGAGTCTCCAGCCACCCAGCCACAGCGCAACCCTACTCCCTCCCCTTCAGAGAGCTGCCGAATCCCACTGAGAGAGTGCCCCTGGGCCCAGCTGTCTGATATAGGAGGAAATAAATTATTGTAGCAAGAGTCACAGCCAGGGTTCCCATGTCCCTCCAGACCCCTCTGCCTTCATTCTGTACTGGGCAGCCCCGCACCACTGCCAGGTGTAGAGCAATTCGCTGAGACCTGCCGACACAAGGCGCATCAAACTAAATGAAGGAAGTGCCACGTAGCAGGCCAAGCAAAGGCTGGGGAGCTGGCTCTGGTTTTGCACTTCAGCCAGCCACCTGGGTTAAGGCCCTGGCTTCCAGGGGCCTGTGCCCAAATTCTGAACTCCCTACACAGCCCCTGGGGAGAGACGATGTCCAGACCGGGCTCCCAAACCACCAGCCCACACAGCAGGGCTGGCCTACAGCCGCTGGTTGGCAAATCCTAAAAGCCACCTTTCCTCTCTCCGGAGCTTAAGCACCTCCACAGGGCCACAGAAGGGGTCTCCGCCCTGGCGGGGTGCAGTCTACATCAGACACGATGCACGGGAATGGAGGCGGCAAGCCTACACACCCTTGCGAGTCCTAGCGGGTACTGTTTCTGCCCGCTCCTCTAGCCGATTTCAAGCCCGCGTGGCCCTTTGCTCAACCCAAACCAGTCGCCTACACTGCCCAGCCAAGCACTGCAATAGCACCTGCAGCAGGTTGCTAGCTGGGAAGAACTGGTCCCATGCCTGCTCCTTCCCACCAAGTATATTGATTGTGGAGGGTGGAGATTATGGATGCCCTCAGGTAGAGAAGGAAGTTACCCTGGGTCTTGTGCTACCGCAGTCAAAAGCTCTGACTGCTGGGCTCTCCTGGCAGCGAGGGGGGCATCCTGTTTGAAAAGGCAGCAGTGGCTGTCACTGCAACTGTGGGCAGAAACCCACCCTGATGGGGGGCTGCTTGCCCCTCCAGGAAAAGCCAGTGAAAGGCTTAGTCTGTGGGGCTGGTCCTGGCATGGGGGTGGCTGCGGTGCCAAGCTGTTCAGACCCGTCTGGGCCGAGGTGCTTCCAGGCGCATGCAGAAGCAGAATGTAGGTATCTGAGGACCTGAGTATCTGAACCAGAAGCGTCTCCGGAGGCCAGGCGCCTGCAGGCCGGAAAGCAGCTGAGCAGGTGGCTTGGGGACAACAGCTTTGGATTCAGGTCTGTAAATTCAGTATCAGGGCTGAAGCCCCTTTCTGGATTTGGATGTGCAGCTGACCCCCTACCCTGGGGGGGCTGCAGCTCCTGGGAGGAGGGATGGGGGACTCGGGGCAGTCCCGCTGCTGCTGCACCCGCCAAGCTTGCCTGACCCCGCCAAGCTTGCCCCCTCCCGCCCATCCCAGGAACTGCAGTGGCGCCTTCTTGCCACGTCCCACTTTGGCACGGCTCTGCTTTTATTTTTAACCTCTGCACTTTTGGTGACCACAAGCAAAGCGGTTTGCTTTATATAGCATCTGCCGAGGGCCTCAGCGGGCAACGGCAGGGCCCAGGTGCTTGGATCTAAGCAGAGATCCCTCCCCAGTGTAAAGTGAGACCCTATTTTGCCTCCCTTATGTAACCTGCCTTTGTGTGACCAACAGTTGCTGTTGTGCGGCTGCCGAGAACAACCCTTCTCTTGAAAGCAAACTCAGGAGCTCCTGCCAGCCCGGGCTCACTTCTCCAACAACTCCTTGTGCAAGACCGGCTGGTCAGGTGGAAGCTTGTGAATAAGAAACCCTCTTACTGGGAGGGATTTAGGCTGTGGAGGGCAGAGAGGGATGGCAGAGACCTGCAAAGAGCATGCATGTGTGTGCGTGGGGGGGTTCACTCCAGTTTTATACAGGCTTCCCTGTTTCTGTCGGAGGTCTGCTCAGAAGACCAGAGCAAGACGGCGCTTTGTCAGCCCCCAGATAACAGGGTGAGGAAGAACCAGGTACTTTTTCCATCCAGGCGCTTCAAGCACTTGAATCTAGTGAGCACCCATCTCACACCCAAACCACAGCATTTGAAAGCAGATGGACTAAGAATCCCAGCCCCCCAACTGCTCAGGTCCGACGGGCCTGGGCTGTCGCGGTGCCGCCAGCGCTCCAGCCAACAACAGACACTGCCAGGAGAAACCTCCTAGTGCCTCAGGGACTCCTTAATTGGATTCAGGGTCTGCAGGTGCTCCGGCATCCTTCCATACATGACCTGAGACTGATCACTGTCCAGGACCCTGGCAGCCACCCCTCTCAGGGGAAGGGAAGTTCACAGTCCAGCCATGGGCTCCCTGCAGCCTGGGGCTCGCAAGTCTTTGGTCCCTTTACCCCCATGGCTCTTGGTTCCCCTTTTGCAAAGGCGGGGGGAGAGACCTCATGCCTGATCTGCTTTGGGCTCCCACCCCAGGCACCTGATGTTGATCTACGGAGGATTGTTCCTTCCACCATTGCCCCCCGCTGCATCCTACCTGCCCTGCCTGGTGGTCCTGCTCCCCTCCTTGCTCTTTCCGCAGCTGCTCTCAGCCTGTGCCTCCAAAGCCCTCCAGAGCAGCCTGCTGCCCCCTTCTACCTGGCCTGCAGCCTCCTACTGCACCTGTTTCTAATGGGTTGCTTGGTTGCAGCTGGGGGAGGTAATTAGCACTCCCCCCACTTAACCTTTCATGGCTTGTATGATGGGCTGCACAGGTTTTCCTCACTTTGTGCTGTACATATGCTCCTGGAAAACGGCACATAACTCAAATTAGCATAAAGGGAACCCACTTTACAATGTAACAAGCAGGGATACGTTCCAAGACCTCGACTGTACTGACCCCAAGACCCATTTCCACCACTTTTACAAGACAATTTTGGTCCTCCCCAACAGCAGACAGTGCACACAAGCACAGGGCACTATCATAATGGGGGTGGCAACTGCAGAAACGTGTCGCAGACGACAAGCGAGGAGCACAGATCCACCCCGGAGACGACATATCGGTTAACGCACCGTGTAAAGCAGCTAACTGCGGGCTTCCACCACACCGATTGCATGAGAGTGCATTTACCTTGCATATAACGAAGTTTTGGTATAAAAAGGGTCATTGCATAAGAGCAAATTCGCACATACAGAACCTGCATAAAGTGAGGGAAATCTGTATCCAGTCTACGGGACATTTACTGTGTTCTTTAACTTAAGGGAAGACGCCACTCATAGTTCAAAGGAAAAAGCCAGTGCTCCTCCCACCCTTTCAGTTTTTTACATGCCCCTTTAACATCCAGTTTAGCCCCATCCTGGCAGCAGATTCAAGTCAGCAGGGAGTCTGCTGGCTGCTGCGGGGATAGCGTGGCACTCAGGACCAGGCCAGAGGGAGGTATCTCCATCCTCAGCCCGGGTGGGGAAGGTTCCTGCTATTCGCTTTAGGGCCCTCCTCAGGATTCACTTCTGCCGTGATGCCTCTGAAAGTCTCAACAGTGACCGTGTCCTGGGCATGCTGCGATGATGGCTGCTTATTGCCCTGCTCCTACCAGAGGGCTCCCTAGCTTGTGCTCCATCATTGCATGCTGCCCCTTCCCGTGGGCTGTTTGGGGCAGAGACCATTACTGCTACTTTGTACAGCACATGGCACCCCGAGACCCCACTCTGCTCCTAGTGCTGGTTCACAGCATCACCTAAAGGGCAAGCAATATTTGGGTCTTGTGCCCAAATTGTAGGCCCCACCCTGCACTCGTTAACTCAGGAGTGCAACGGGGCTCCTCTGATCAGCAGAGGGAGGGGAGACAGCTGGCTCGGGAGAACAGAGACCTGGACCGCGTGCTGCTGGGCGCACTTCTCCTCTCCGGCCTGACATGCCGTGGAGCCTGTGACTGCCCGAGAAGGCAGATGCTCCTTTAGGGGTTGCCAGCCAGGCCTTGCTCTTGTCAGAGGAACGTTTGAGCATTTGCAACCCTCCTGCGGTTTCCCTGTCCTGCACAAATGCTGACGCAGCGCCCCTATCTTTAACCTCCGTTCTGCTCTCGGTAAACACTGATCATGTAACACAAGCAGGATCCCGGGTGCTTGAAAGATCTCCATAGAAGGGCACCAGCCACTGGCAACAGCAGAGCCTCAGGTGTGAATCTCTCCCCCTTCCCTGAGTCTCTGCGGACACCTACAATCACTGCCTCTGGGTTGAGCTGAAGCTTACAAGACAGAATAGAAAAGTTCCCTTTTTCCCACGAAGCAAGAAGGAAATGTAAACTAATGACCCTAGTGGACTCCAAGATGAACATGAGTCAGCAGTGTGACGAAGCCATCAAAAAAGCCAGTGGCACTTTATCGTGCATCAGCAGATGCATGACGAATAGGTCCAAGGAGGTGATACTTCCCCTCTATCGGGCGCTGGTCAGACCACAGTTGGAGTACTGCGTGGTTTTGGGCGCCACACTTTAGGAGGGATGCGGATAACCTGGAGAGGGTCCAGAGAAGGGCCACTGGTATGGTTAAGGGCCTACAGACCAAGCCCTACGAGGAGAGCCTAGAGAACCTGGATCTATTCAGCCTCCGCAAGAGAAGGTTGAGAGGCGACCTTGTGGCTGCCTATAAGTGCATCACGGGGGCACAGAAGGGAATTGGGGAGGATTTATTCACCAAGGCGCCCCCGGGGGTTACAAGAAATAATGGCCACAAGCTAGCAGAGAGCAGATTTAGACTGGACATTAGGAAGAACTTCTTCACAGTTCGAGTGGCCAGGGTCTGGAACGGGCTCCCAAGGGAGGTGGTGCTCTCCCCTACCCTGGGGGGCTTCAAGAGGAGGTTAGATGAGTATCTAGCTGGGGTCATCTAGACCCAGCCCTCTTTCCTGCCTATGCAGGGGGTCGGACTCGATGATCTATTGAGGTCCCTTCCGACCCTAACATCTATGAATCTATGAATCTGTGACCCAGCCATTACAGAGGAACTTGCAGTGTTGCTTCCATCAAGCCATGTGGCGAGCCAGCTACCAGCCCAAGTGGAAAACCTCTTCCGTCCTAATACAAAACCAGTCTCGAAATGCTTGCTGCCCTAGGCAACTCCCCGCTCTGCCCTGGATGGTGGAGTTGGCCCAGACAACACCTACAATAAATAATGACTGGTTCATGGTAATTATACTTAGATTCACGCAGTGATTTCGCTCAGCCAGCAATTACCATCAACGTCTAATTGCTAGGCCCTTACCATGTAATTACAGGTTATTTATGTTCTGCAAAAAGGTAAAGCAATCAGCTTCTTTCTGCCAGATGAGGCCTCCCTTCTGCCAGAGCCAAATGATGGGCCAGAGTCTGCAGCCAGCTGACCTGAGGATCACAACTTTTTTCTGCACTGCTGGGTCATGGCTCCTTTTGTATCCCCTGCCACAGCCCTGTAGGGAGAAGGCAAGCGAGTCAGAGAGCATCAGACATGCTTAGCTAGCGGGGTTCAGCTGATGGTGATCCCTGCCTAAGCCTGGAGGCAATAAGGTTCCCATCCCTGCAAGGACAGGTGTCCATCGAAATGTTCTCGCAGTGCCACAGGGACAGCAGGAACTCTGCCCAGTTGGTTCACAAAAGATGTGGCCAGCACTGGACTCGACTGAGGCACAACCCAGGCATATGCCAAAGCTACCGGAGAACACGCCTGCACTCCAGGTGAATGCTCTGCCCGCACTCCCCATTTCAGGTCCAGGGGCAGTTTCACACTACAGAAGAGACAAGAGCCAATGCAGGGTTGTTCTTACGGTGAAGCTGTCAGTGTTAGAAGCCTCTAGCAACGTCCGCTCACTTCTGTGGGACAGACCATCCCGTGGCCCAGAAGAGTCAGCCTAGTTGTATCCCTTATTTCTGTGTAAACCCTTCTGTCCCATCCAAAACATTCCTCTCGCTGCTCGGCATTTATGCCCTTCCACTTCTTGGAGGCTATTCGATCATTGCACAGCAAGAAACATTGAATCTTCCTTATAGAGCGCCCTCTCCCCCCAGCACCCCAATAATTTTCTGGCAATGAATTGGGTGGAATTAAAGGCTTGGCAAAATGATACTGTATACTTAAAAATTCTGCCTCCTGCCCCCAGCCGCAGACTAGAAGTACACTGCCTCCTACCCCCAGCCATGGACCAGGCCCCAAACTCCAGAACACATCAAGAGGAGTGATGATAACATCACAGAATGAGTAATACATGCCGGGGTTTCCCGGCGTGTGCCTTTATCTAGTTGCTGGTAATACTGTATCTGGTGCCCCTGTTCAGGACCCTTTTGGGTGTCTGAAAAGTGCTGAGTATCCCTCCCTCCAAGGGAATCAGCCCCCTTTATTTTCCATTCCACACACAATATCTGGAGTCACTGTGCCAAATCTCAGCCACACAAATACTTTCACTCTTCTAGCACTTCCCAGTCAAGAATCAGTCCTGAGCCAATTCACTAAGCAGAGTAGCTAGTACAGAATAAAATCACTTAACTTTTATGTTCCAATGAGACTGAACAGCCACTGGAATAGCTCTAAGGGAACAACTATGCCCGTCGATTTGCTGTGTAGATAAGCACTAATTGGTAAGAACCTGGTTTGCAAAAAATATGTATCAGCAACTTGGGCACTTCAAAAGCATTAAATACGGACCCCACCAATGCTGAGATTTTAAGAAGAAAATCAGGGGAATTTGGTGGTATGGAAGTCAGATATCCAATTCCCTTGAGAGGCTGTCTACTGGAATCCTTCAGTGAGGCTGCACAATCATTCCAGGGTCGAAAGGAAACTGTTTAGGACCTAATCCTACAAATGGTTAAGACAAACTACACGGCGAGTCCAACAGACTACACAGGAGAGCCAGCCCATGTGTGCAAGGGCAAAGGCTGAACTGATGAAAGCTGTTACCCAAATGGCAGTCTTGGATTACATTTAGACACACAAAGCGAGATTCTCAGGTTGCAAAGAGGATGTAATGCAAACGCTGTGAGCAAAGTGACCAACTCCACTAAATTCAGGGACTGCGGGCCTAAACTTTAGACCTTGTTAACGTAAAGGGGAAGTGTGCTATGAAAGTTCAGTTCTGAATGTGCGTTCGTGCATTTTATACAGTGGTGAAAAGACTTTGGTGTTTGGTTTAGAATACTTCCTGGCCATTTCTGGAACAGGCACAGGTGAGCTTTGTCATAAAGCAGCAGCACCAGGAAATTAACCTAATTACCTAATTAGAAGGGACAGTCTGCACTGAAAACCCCGAGAGGTAAAGACAGTAAGGGTGCTTGCAGATGTAACCCCCCCTCCTCAAAAGGTGCTTTACTTTAAACTTGGCATGTTCCTATGCTGAGCCCTGCACATGCCCAGAAGCGGCAGTGTGTTACTTTGACCCCGCTTGCCAGACCTATGTAAAGACTGGGTGCATTAGTGGGGCTTTTTTGGTGCTTTTATCTAATAGCTGAGTGAATCAGCTTTAGCTAAAAGCACCAAAACGCCTCGCTGAAGTGATGCTGCAGAGCCAGGTTGAAGTAACTCGCTGCTTCTTCCAATAAAGTGCAATTCATTTGCCTTTTTTTTTAAATGTCTGCAAACAACCTAAAGCTACATCACAGGAAGCAAAGCAGCAGCATTAGCTAAACCCTGCTTGTGTGCTGTGACTTGTTACACAGCCCCTAACCCTCTGCAGACATCTACTGACTTAGGTGGGACTCAGCCCGGTACAAGGATCCATTTTAGCAGATCCCAACTGAGAAGCACTGAAGAGGAAGGGCTGGGACTGTGATGCAGTCCACTGCCCCTGTCTGTGCTGCCCTTTAATACTAAATGGGGCTTTTAAAACAGAGGGGCATCAGTCCACGGTTAAGTCCTTCTGCTCCCATTCCACTTGGAAATGGGTCGCACCCTCTTGCTTGCCTATGGGGCATCTGCTACAGGACTCTCCACCTTGTTTCAGGGCTGCTTAGAGCACACACAGTGAAAAGAACTGCCTGGATGCTCACATGTTATAGGCAAATAAGTTTAAAGACAGCACAAGCAATTTCGGGTCAGGCTTTGAGAAGCGGTCAGTCCCCATGGGTTCTGCTTCTCTGCAAGAAGGAATTTGTGCTTTGGCAAATCTGATTGTTGAGGTCTAGTCAGGCCGACAACGTAGAATTGAACGCAGTCTTTGTTCCCACACTGATCCTTGACAGCTCGCTGCCAATTCTGGCGGGTTTATACCCCGCTGCCCACTTCCCCACCTGGCTGCTGTGGCAGACTCCAGTTCAGCTAGGGACGTTACAGATATAAGGAGCACAGTGAAGTCAGTGAGGCTACCCACATGCTGGAAGTACTTGGCAAAGTAAGACCTCAAGTGGCCAACAGACCAGAGTTGTCACTTGATATATTGATGGTAAACATAAGTTGTTCCCAGAGGAGTGTGCTCTGCCCTTTGAGAGAAAGAGGGAGCATGTCTCCAAATGTAGATTTAAATCGCCCATAGCTGGGAAGCTCTGCTGGAACGAACAAAGCCACCCACGTACTACCAGAACTTCAGTCTGCTTCCAGCCCCTCCTCACAAGACAGACCCTGAAGACACAGGCCCCTCAGAAAGGAACAGGGAGGCATTTGCATTCTAGCAGCATTTTTTTTTGTTTTATTATTTAAAGTTAGGAGCAGTCGGCTCGCAAAATTGAACAAATCTGTCTCTGCAGTTTAGTCCATGTTTCAGCCAGAAGGGGGGGTGGGGGAAGTAGCTAAATTAACTCCGCACTTGACTCGATGCATGTTAAACCTTCTTGCCTTATAAATAACATTTCTTTTAAATAGTTAACACTGCAAAAACTAAAACAGCAGAACTACAGTATCTGTATGAGGCAGAGAATATTGGATTATTGAGGCTTACGGTTCAGCTGGCCTGCAAATCCCAGCACAGCAGCTCTGCGGGCATATAGTGCATTAGTGTTTGTCAGGGCTCTGCTCTCCTGGTCCTGACCTTTCCCCAAAGCTCTGAGGGGCAGCTGCTTCCCCCTCAGCTATGTGTTTTGCTCTGACTGGGCCAAGAAATTAGACACAGGCTGGCAAAGCACAGTCATTCCTGCATAGAGAGGATCTGAGATTGGGGCAGCATCGTATTTCCCAGCGCTGACTATTCCCCACTGAGTGGAGCAACAGTACCACCGCCCCCCAATCAAAGTCAGGGCTAAAATGCTTTTGTGCAGACCCTAATGCACAAAAACAGCTTGCCCTGATAGCAGCCACATGAGAGATCCCCATCTCAGTCCTGAAGCTAGCACCATCTGTCCTATACTTGCAAAAGAATCAAAAACCCCAAACCACGCTGGCCCTTTTGATGGAGGTTTTCCAGAGCAGGGTGATTACAGAGAGCGCAGGATCAGTATCTTAAACAGTACAAAAAAGCCCAAATATTAACAATCCTTCATTAGCGGTAGCTCTTTCCTAGAGACGTTTAGACACTCCCCAAATGCTTACCTGCCTCCCATCAACCCCCAGACTGCATCCCCACTGCACATGCTTTTCAACCCCAGAATGGTTAGCAAGATGGTATCCGATCATGTCCCACATCTGCAGCCCTGTCGGCCTGAGAGTGGTCACACAGGCCCACCCTGGAGTCCACACAGAGCTCCAGTGGAAACAGTGGGTCTCTATCTAGACCAGGGGTCAGCATATGCAATGGGAAGAAAGCCAGCAATTTGACTACTCAGCTTGGCTTTTTTTTTTTTTTAAATAGATGCCTCCCTTTCCCTCATCTCTCCCTCTTCCCCCCAACCACATTCAAACAAGCCACCACCTGCTGTTGAAGCCACTCTAGTACAGGATTGGAGAAACCAGGCAGTGTGGATGAGGCCTGGCACAGACAGGGAAAAAAACCCAGCTTTACACATACTCATTGCAAATCTGAGAACTCCTACACTGATGGGGAAGCAAACGAGCCACCAAGCCTCGCTTTACCCTCAAGTCAGCAGCCAAGAACTCTACTGAGCACTGGCCACTCAGCTCTTAGGCTCAAGTGCTAAAGCCAGGGGGGAACAAGGCATAAGGTTACACTGGAAGATGTAGGATATTTTATTCCTTGCTTGCATTTCTCTGTTCAGTGCTCAAGGCAGGGGTAGGGCAGAGCCGGGGCACATATGTGAATCTGCAGCTAGTCCAGAGCATAAAGACTGAGTGAATCTGGCATTAATGGAAGAAATGGTAGGATATTGAGGAATCTGCCTTAAGAGCTCCACTGGCCAAAGGGCAAGACAGACAGCAATGGGGGAAGGCCATGGCTGCAACCTCCTCTTGGCGCAGTTCGCTATTTCTGGCACCTGGAGATGTGGAGGAGGAGGAGGAGATGCCCCAGCCACAACCTCTTGAGTTTTCTACCCCGTGTGGACAAGCTCACTGGTGATGAGGATGGACAGCACTTGCAGCCTGCCTCAGGGCAAGGAAGGCTTCCAACCTTGCTCCCTCCTGGGGATCATGTGGAAGGCGGGTGGCCCCGTTGCTCTCCCACCCTAGTGAAGTTCAATGAAGGCCTCCAGCTCTTCAGGGATGAAGCCTTTGTAGGGGATCTTGTGCTTGTCGAGGGCACGCGCAGCAAGGCACTGGAGGGTGATGTAATTGAAGGGCTGCATCATGCTCTTGGTGAGCAGCTTCTCATCGAGCAGCTCATAGGCTGTCTGCTTGAAGGCATTGGTGGCATCCATGTGGGCTCCGGCCTCCATGAGGGCACTCATGATCAGCGGGCAGTTGTTTCGGGCAGCTATGTGCAGCGGGGTGTTGTTATCGTAGTCCCGGCTGTCAGGGTCAGCCCCGCACTCCAGCAGCAAGTTCACGACATGGAGCGACGGGAACTTGCCCACTGGGTAACGCCCCACCGTGGTGGTGTCCTTGTCCACAGCCATGTGCAAGGGAGTGAAGCCGTTCTTGCCCCGGGGGCTGCACTTGAGCAGGCGGTAGATGGTCTGACGCTTCTGATGTTCCTCCTCCGGCGCGCACTCCACCTTCTCCAGCAGGAAGACCAGATGCAGGATGATGGCTAAGGTCTTGGTGAACTGTGCCGAATCGGTGACCGGGTCCTTGCCGTGCAGAAGCGCCCGCTCCACCTCCCGGACGCCTTTGCTTAACACGCCCATGAGGTCAGAGAAGCCCAGCTGGGTTGCTAAGGTGCCCTTGGAGCGGTCCTGAAGCACGTACGAGAAGAGCTCGGCAAAGGAGAGAAAACTGCTGGCAGTCATGGGGCTGAGAGGCTCCAGGTTGCCTTGCTGCATGTCCAGGGCGTACTTCCACAGGTTGATGCAGCGCTCGAAGTTGCCCGAGTCAGCATAGACGGCCCCCCTGTAACGAATGTAATACGAGGTGTCCGGGTGCGAAGGGCCCAGGACGCGCTCTCGGATCAGCAGCGCCTGCATGCGCATCTCATCCGGGTCCGTGATCAGGCCTTCCAGCTCGTCCAGCGTGCTCACTTCCCGCGCGTAGTCGTAGGCCAGCACCAGCTGCCGCGGCTCCGGCTTGGCCAGGTAGCGCCCTCCCTGGTGCCGCAGCTCCATGGCTCGCCGCCAGTGCTTGAGGGCCCCCAGGAGGTCGCGCTTCTTATCCACGAACGTGGCCCCCAGCAGCTCCAGCGCCTCCACGGCGTCCTCTCGGGAGCACAGCACGCACGGTGCCGGCTGCTCGTCCCCATCGTCCCGCTGCTCTTCCTCAGGGCAGCTCGAGCCCCTCGCGGCGGCGGCGGCGGGCGGCACCCACGCGGGGGGGGGCG